TATAACAAAATTTCACCGGGATCTTTTTTCCCATGTATTTGGTGCGGGGTCCTTTCAACTATTCAAAAAGATTTGTTTATAGTTATTTTTCACATTATAAAAATCAAAATAACTTGTACTTTTTTTTTACTAAAAATTGTGGTATTTTGTCGCAATTATTTTAAATGAGTCGAAAAAAGTCACAATTTTCTTAATTTCCCTGACAAAAAAATTTTTCCAGACATTTCCCTGACTTTACTGACATTCTTGCTTTGAAATATGTTCAAAAATAATCTTTTTTATTTTTTAACATACAGGAGTAAAAAAAACTTATTTTTTTAATTTGCAATATCCACGTGGACAACTGTATAGGGGTCAAAAATTGGTGAAAAATTGTCCACGTGGTTTATGGACGACCCCTTAATAACAACATCGCTTGATTTATTAAATATTAAAATATTTTCCAAGATTTTTAAAAACATTATTCATCAACAATAACATCAAACACTTAATTATTATATTATTAAATATTAATTAATAGGTATATCATAATAATAATAAATTATTAAAAAATAAATTCAAAGCTATGAAAAAATGTGAGACTAACTCTGCTGGGGCTCGAAAAAAAAAATTAGTGAAAAATTCTGGGAAAATTCAAATAATAAATTATTATTTATTAATTATTATTTTAATAAATAATTAAATTATAAATAATTAAATAATTTAAAAATAATAAATAATAATTAATAAATAATTAAATTAATAATTTTTACCATATTTTTATGCTATACCTATTAATTAATATATAATGTCTTGTTAAAATGTATATAAATATCTATCCCTATAATATGAAATAATTTCGCCGCCGCCGCCGCTGATTCAGTCATTTCTAAGGGCCCCTTAGAAAGGGCACATAGTCAAGGTTGGCCCACTGTTAAGGTAGGCCCATCGTCAGAAACAAGTTACATTTGACCTATATTCAGGTCAATTTTAAGGGCAGTTTTAACCTACAGGTCAAAAATTGATAAACTAATCCCTCTGCCCTTAAAATTTAGGTCAATTTGAAGGGCAGTTTTAACCTACAGGTAAAAAATTGACAAACAATTCCCTCTGCTCTCAAAATTTAGCTCAATTTTAAAGGCAGATTTAACCTACAGGTCAAAAATTGACAAACTAATCCCTCTGCCCTTAAAATGTATGTCAATTTGAAGGGCAGTTTTAACCTACAGGTAAAAAATTGACAAGCAATTCCCTCTGCCCTCAAAATGTAGGTCAATTTTAAGGGCAGTTTTGACCTAAACGTCAAAAATTCACAAACAATTCTCTCTGACCTTAAAATGTAGGTCAATTTTAAGGGTTGTTTTAATCCACAGGTTAAAAATTGACAAACAACTCCCTCTGCTCGAAAAATTTAGTTTAATTTTAAAGGCAGATTCAACATGCAGGTCAAAAAATGACAAACTAATCCCTCTGTCCTTAATATTCATGTCAATTTGAAGGGTAGTTTTAACCTACAGGTAAAAAATTGACAAACAATTCCCTCTGCTCTCAAAATGTAGGTCAATTTTAAAAGATTTTGACCGAAACGGAGAAAATTGACGAACAATTCCCTCTGTCCTCAAAATTTAGGTCAATTTTAAGAGCAGTTTTTATCTACACCGCAAAAATTGTCGAGAAAACTCCTTCTGACCTGACCTTCCCTCATAATTTAGGTCAAATTTGACATATTTTTTAACCTACTTATCAAAAAAGCAAATTAATTAGGATACTTTAAGAGGTCGTTACCTTATATAAAAATTTGACAAAATTTTTGACCTATAGGTTAAAAGAAGCTTGATTTACATTTTAATAGTATTTTTAAAAATTTTATTAAAATTTATTTTCCTTTAGAGGAAAACATAACCTCAAACTTAGTTTAAAAGTTATAGGTGAGAGAGTAAAAATAAAACACCAAAATTAGGTCAAAATAATAGGTGGGAAAGCAAACATAACTTTAAAATTAAATAGAGTCAAAATATAAGTCAAAATTTAATCTAATTTTTCACATATAGGGGAGACTGGGGTAAACCCGCTCACTTTTTTTCAGGTCGGTAAAAATCTAGGAAATTATTCTCTAAATCCAAGTTAATTTATATCATTTGAAAGCTTATGATTTCTACTAAAAAAATAAAAAAGAGTTTTTGATTTATCTTTTTTAGTTTTACTTAGAGAAACTTTTTAATACACATATACCAAATTTCGAAATCACAATTTTCCAGGGTAAACCCGCTCACTTTATCTTTTCAAGACGGAACAGTTTTATTTTTTAAATATTAAAATTCGTCTTATTCCCGTCTTAAGTATGATTTATTATTGATAATTTATGAGTTATATAAACATTTCTATAAACAACAAATTGGTTTAATAAATAATGAACATAGATTTTATGAATTACAACTATGGATTTAAATAGTGTTATATTTTATTAAGAGAAAGTGAAATGTAGTTACAATTTTGGTTTTAATAAGTCATAAATTGTGTTATTGTTGAAATATAATACGCGAAATTATTTTATTCTAAATTTTAAATTAAAAACTAAGTGAGCGGGTTTACCCCGACTTCACGTGAGCGACTTTACCCCGAGTGTATTCCTCACATTTCAGAATAAATTTAATTAAATCTTTTTGAAATAAGATAAAACTATACATGTACTTCAAAAAAGGACATCCAATAGCAACAAAAAAAAATTTGCCAAATAAATTAAGACTCAAAAATAATGATCGAAAAACTTAAAAATCCAAAAAACGTTTTTTTTTCTGATACCTCTAAAAACATTTGATTGCCTCTGATTCTATGTTGAATTCATGAAACTAAACGAAAGTTCGTTAATATAAGTTGAATGGTAAGTACTATTCACAGTATCAATATCTCCATCTTAAGTTGAGTTCATCGCGTTAAATCGCTGGTGAGCGGGTTTACCCTGTGCGCGGGTTTACCCCAGTCTCCCCTAGGTTAAAAAAAGGTCAATAACGATTGTTTCATTACTTCAAAATCCATGTGTACTTTGTCATATACTTATTGTAATTTATTATGATGCATTTATATTAAAAAAACATTATTTGAAATTTATAAAAATTAAAATAAATATAAAAAATACAGATAGGGGGTTGTATGTAGTTTATTATGATGCATTCATATACACGGAAAAAACTGCATGGTTGGGACAACCATATATATTGAAAAATACGGAATATCCATTTTTAAGGTTATCACATCCATATACCACATCCATTTCTTTAGTTGACACATCCATAGAAAAAAATGGATATCCCGTATCTTTCAATATATATATATGGTTGTCCCAACCATGCAGTTTTTTCCATGTAAGAAAAAATTATTTTAAATTTATAAAAATTTAAATTAAAATAAATATAAAAATAGAGATAGGGGGTTGGCGCGCGAAGCGCGCAGGGGGGCGAAGCCCCCCTAGTATAAGATATATATTTATAATAATTTTTTTTTAAAGAACTATAATATACAGTGAATTCATTATTATAGCACTGTATATATCCTTCCCATAATTCAAAAGGAAGTTTAAGTAAAATCACTTCCAAGCTTACGTGGCATGCAGCTCACCTCAAAAAAGCGAGCATCTACTCCCGAAAGGTGAGCAGCTGCCCCTGAGGAGTTGCTGCTTACCTTTCGGGAGTAGATTCTCGCCTTATTGAGGTTAACTGCGAGCTTGAGGCAGCGAGCTCTAGCGGCACTCATGTAAAGCCTGCAGCCTGCCCAAAATTTTTTCAGTGTGCCAGTGATATTTTAATACTGCCGGTAAAAAACCAGTACTGGACAGCGTTACCAGCCAGGAATTTCCCAGTACTGGTGTCAGTACTGCTATACTGTCAGTCAGTACTGTGTCAGTACTATGCCAGTATTACATTTCTACTTGGGAATTGTAGAGCATTAAAAAACGCTTCGATTGACCTATTTTTGAACCTAATTCAATAATAAATTTCGAAATTATTGGTATTTTAAAAACAAAAATTGTGAAAAATGACATTTTCTCAACTTTTTTGTTTGAAACTTTTTATTTAACTATTAAATTATTGTAACTATCTTGTAGAGTATTTAAAAATATATTGATTGACTCAAAATTCAATCACTTTTACCATATTTATAAAAAGTTATTCATATACTTCTATTACTTCCTCATAGAGGAAGTATTGTAATACCAAAATTTTTCGAGTTCGATTTTTTGACATATCTTTATGTTATTTTACCTCAGAAGTTCAAAAATGACATTTTTAAAAAATGTCATTCCATATGTGTGTGTGTGTGTGTGTAAACATCACATTTTCATAAATATCTCGAAATCATGAAGAGCTTTTGGGTTGCATTGTTTTTAAATTGTATATCTCACCTGCGGACATAAAGTGAGAGTACTTTCTGATATATTAATAAAGTTTAACTAAATTTTTTTTGATTTTTAATTTTGCAAAAAAACGTTTTTTGCCCATAACTTTAAAAAAATGTTAGGACACCTATAAATGTTTTTCCATAATTTTGTAGAGTTTTTTTAGGCGCATCTTTTGAGAACTAATTGAACATTTTTCGTCCATATTAACCAGAGTTATTAAACTTTTAAAAATCAAAAATTTTGGAAAATAAGACTTTTTTAAAAATTTTGTTGAAAATTGTATAAGTAACTTTAAAATTATCGTTACCAACTTGTAGAGCATTAAAAAACGCTTCGATTGACCTGTTTTTAAATCTAATTCGTAATAAATTTCGAAATTATTAGTATTTTAAAAATCAAAAATTGTGAAAAATGACATTTTCTCAACTTTTTTGTTTGAAAATTTTTATTTAACTATTAAATTATTGTAACTATCTTGTAGGGTATTTAAATATACATTGTGAGGAATTGTGTGCGAGTTGACGTATGGTATAAGTGAAGATGTGTGCTGTGAGTAAAATGTGATATGGAAGTGGAAGTAGGAGGGGGCTACCATGCCTAGGTCTAATTGTCGAATTTCTCAAAAGTCGTGTAGTGGTCAGGGACCATCATCACGCATTGCGTGCAATCGTGACAAACAGCGGGTGCTTTGCTCCCTAAGTGTGTCATAACGCCCAATCGGGGTATGTATTATTTTTGAATCTCTGAAGTTGTATAAAAAAAATGGATTTGTTAGTAAATTCAGTTATTGTAACAAAAGAAAATGAATTTATAATTGTAGCGGTTGGTGCGAGAAGCATTGTAGCATCTATGATTTGGAGGTAAAGTCTCACTCTTTACAACTGGCCGAGCGTCTGGGAAATTAATTTGTTCTGTGCCGACATCACAATAAATTGTTGGATAAATCGCCGAACTTTATTGTACAATACACTCCAGGATAAAAAGAAAATATCTTCCTAAAAAACATCCTTACGTTTAACATCGGGACTTGGCCGATCCTACACTTGAACGTGAAGGAGGGATTTGCATTTGCCGCCAACTGCAATCATCTATGAGTGTTTGTATCTACCCATAATTGTAATCACCGACGCTGTGGTAAGTCCACGAAATAATTATTTGTCACATTTGGTCCTTGATCCATTCTATTTGATATTACGTTATTTGCAAAGAGTTAATTTCTTTCGACTCCATTTTTATTTATATAAAAATTATTTGACAAACGTTGCGACGATTATATTTTGGTGTGCGTAAGTGTATGTGTCGTATGAATGATTATCTGATTATAAAGTGTTAGTTTTGTTTTAAATTTCGAATCGTATCGCGAGATAAATTATATTGTAAATTATATTGATTTAATTGTCGACGGAAATAAATTTCATACATCATTAAACTTAGGCATAATTTCTTTTTCGTAACTTTAACATTAACTTATCTTTTATTTCAATTTTGTTTAAAACTAAGAGGATAAGAATAAATGAGTAAAAAAGATTTGTTACAATTGGCGCCCAACTAGAGGCAATTAATTCTTTGCAAAAATAAAACTGTATAATATTTTTAAATTCTAATTCGATATTTTATTTTTATGTAATGGCGAATACGAGGTCAGCGGCTAAAGATAAAATCAATGACAACGACGAAGGCTTTCAAATGTGTTTACAACTACAAGCCGAATTGAGGGAAATGAAGGATGAGTTGACGCGAGTCCAAACACAACGGACTGAATCTGATAAGGAAAACGAGACCTTGCGAAATGAAATTCGAAGAATGAAGGTCGATTTTGAACAACAATGGAATAATAAATTTGCTGAAATGGGCAAAGGTGGATTAAAAACAGACGTAGGTGCTCAAACCGATAATTTTGAAATTTATGTAAGTAATAATATTGAAAATAATATAGTCGACAGAACGGAGGATAATGGTGTTACTGAATTTGAGGGACAGTCAAGTTATTCTGATAAACAAGATGATAGTCGATATAAAAGGCGGGAAGAATATAGTAAAAAACCGCGTGAGGGGATTTGTGGGAATAACGAACGGCACGGTGACCAAAATGATTTTATGAGGGGTATCGTGTCATATTTTGATTCGTTGCAAGTAACTATTCCTTTACCAAAGTTTGACGGATTAAATAAAAATCCGATTGAGTTTATCAGTGACATAGAAAAATATTTTACTAGAAAAAATATTTCCGAAAATTTACAACTCGTAATAATAGAAGAGGCGTTAATCGGTAAGGCGAGAATGTGGCATGATGCTCGTTCTTTCCCATTTATTAATTACCAACACTTTAAAAATAAATTCCTCGAAGAATTTTATTCGATTGAAGCTCGTATGATGGCAAAATCCGAATGGGAAAGTCGACGTTATAAATCGAATGAAAATTCTTTACAAGGGTATTACGTGGAGCAGTTAAGTCGCGCTAAATTTTGTTTATCGTCATTAAAAGAATTCGAAGTTAATTACCTAATAATTAAACAATTGCCGCAAAGGGTCAGGGAAGTACTTTCTACCATTGATTACAATGACACGTCAAGAATAATGCAAGCGTTAAATCGGCTGGATGCAACTCGTCGTGACATTGAAGGGGGAATTTCCTCGAAAAATAAAAATAATACGGAATCGACAATTAATAATTCGAATCATAATAAATTCTATAAACAAAATAATCAAAATGAGGGGAATACCATTGCGAAGAACAATGGTGAACCGACGGGTCAACAGCAAAGTAGGTCGCGAAATTTTGAAAGCGATCGACAGAAAAATTGGAGACAACCGGGACAATCATCGAATAACAACGGACGCGCTCAATACGTAAATACAAATGATAAAAATGAGGACCGTAGTGGGGGAAATAATATTAAACCGAGTTCAAGTATTAATGCCATGTGGAATTCTAATATATCGGAATTTATTGACGATCTATGTTGGGACGTAGTACCGGGGGTGAATGAGATAAGTAGTGAAATCGAGACAAAAATAGTTAGCCCGAGAATCCGTGCAACAATTGAAAATCATGAAGTCGCTGTTTTAGTAGATAGTGGGAGCGAGGTAACCGCGATATCCGAAAATTTTTATAATTCGTTAAAAAAGCATACTAAAATCATAGAATTGCCAGTGAGTAATATAACAGTTAGTGTTGCGGTGGGAAAAAAATCGACGACAATTCGAAGACAAGTGCAATTAACACTTAAAATCGAGAATAACAATTTCGTAGCTCCATTTTTAATAGTACCGGGATTGGCGACGAATGTATTAGTTGGAATTAATTGGTTGTTAAAATTTAAATGTATGATAGATATCGAAAATCAAAAAATTCAAATAGCCGGAAATTTTTTGCCGGAATCATTAGTTACATTTAAAATGTCCGAGAAAAGAGAAATTAATTGTCGTATCGTAACTGCAACAAATGAATATAATAATGATCGAGAGAATTCGAATAGCGAACAGGAAATCGACGGATATAATATTCAAGAGAGATCGAGTAATGATATCGAGTCAGAACAAGTTTCGTACAATATGGAAGAGTTTGCTCAGGAAATTGACGAATATTTGTTTAAATTAAAGTCATTTGATAAAGCTAGTAAACAAAAGATTAAAGACATCTTAATTAAATATCGTCGCGTATTTTCAAAGCGTCCAGGTTGCACGAATGTCTATGAACATCGGATTACTCTCGAGAAACAAAAAACTATTGTGAGAAAATCATACCCTGTCGCGTTAAGTCGTCGAGATGCGGTACGTAAGGCGATTCACTATATGCTGGGTTTGGGAATTCTAGAAATTTCATATAGCGATTGTTGTAATCCCCTACGTATAGTATTTAAAAAAAACGGGGATGTACGCCTTTGTTTAGACGCACGATTTATAAACGTATGTATCAAATCAGATAATGAAAGTCCGCCGATTATGGAGGAGCTGCTCCAGAAATTTGAGGGGGCAAAATTCCTTTCGACAACGGATCTGGTAATGGGATATTGGCAGATACCTTTGGAAGAAGAATCGCGAAAGTACACTGCTTTTTTGTTTAAAGGTCACCTGTATCAATTCACGCGTGTGCCCTTTGGCCTAAAAACGGCAGAAAGCGGATTTATACGCGCGTTGAATATCGCATTATGACAGGAATTGTCTGAATTTATTTCAGTTTATATCGACGATATTTTAGTAGCGTCGCGAAGTTTCGATGAGCACTTAGATCATTTGTCGAGATTATTTAAAAAATTAATAGACAGTGGATTTACGTTGAGTCTTGAAAAATCGGCTTTTTTTGCGAGGAAGTATCTTTTTTGGGATTTAAACTCTCGTCAGAAGGAATTAGGCCAGATGAGGATAAATTATCGGTAATTAATGATTTCCCGTGTCCCAAGGACAAAAAGCAACTGCAGGCATTTCTCGGGGTATGCGGTTACTACCGAAGGTTTAGCATAAGGCATGCCGATTTTGTGGGACCGTTTCGAGATCTGTTAAGTAGTTCAGGGGAATGGAGATGGTTAGAAAAGCATTCTATCGCGTTTCAAGAAATGAAAAACAATTTTGTTCGGTCCGTTACGCTTAGTCACTATATGCCAAATAGAAGTTTCAAATTGCAAACTGACGCAAGTGATGTGGGAATAAGCGGGATACTGTACAGTACTTTTCAATTATGCCTTCTAAAATGGAAGGCACTAGTTTCAAGAGGTTTGCCTACTATCTATGTTGTTTCTGCGCCTTGGCGTATTAGACGAGTGGAATGTCGAACTGGACTGTCAAAACATTGAAAAGAGGTTTTGTTTACGTTTTAAAAATGTAGTTATATTATGTGAGAAAGTAAGTGAAATATATTAAAATAATAATGTATTGCTTTAATTTACTAAATTTTAAACATAATTTAAATTAAGTCTTAGTTAGTGCAAAAAAAATGTGACAAAAAATTGTAATTTTTGGATTTTTGTAATCGCAAGTTTTACAAATTATCGAATTTGCTTTTGTAAAAATTTCATTTTCTGGACTATTTAATTTAATTATAAGACAAATTTAATAATAGCATTTAATGATAATGTAACAGAATGATCAAATTTTTTTATGATATTGGAATTTTTTATTGAATTTGCTTTTCGCAAGAATTAAATTATTTTCATAAATAACAGAATTCTTTGGAAGGATTCAATTACTTTTATAAATACTAAAATTCTTTGCAGAAATTCTATTATTATTAATATGATTTTAATAAAATTTAAAATTCTAATTTCCAATTGTAATTATAAACAGACGAGATTATTTTCTTAAAAAATTTTAAATTCTTTGTTTAATTAAATTATTTTTCAAATTTTCAATTAAAATTTATTTAAAAAATTTTATATAAAAAAAAATAGGTCGAATTAATAAATTTTCAAGATTTAACAAAAAACGTTTTTCAAGGTCTAATGTGGTCGTCGCCGGAAAATCCTGGAACCACACAAAAAACACTAAGAGAGGAGTCGCTGGAAATTACTAATGCATGCAGTTCTACGTCTTCTCTGTATCTTCTAAGTGGGCAAACCGTCAAGTATTTACTGGGAAAAACCGATAATGAGCCAGGAATTTTATGCCAAACCGGGAATTTTTTCACAAAATTAAAAAAAGTTTTATTATTTTTATTTGTTTCTAAAGAATTGATTTTTATTTCAATTTTTATAGATATTTATACTCTTCTCTAAATTTGAAATAACTAAAAATAATTAATTTGATAATAAAACTTGTTTTAAAATTGATCAAATTAATAGAAACTTTGTGAAATTAAACTGAAAATTATTTAATTTTTTAAAGAAGTTAGTGACCGTAATAATAATATTATTTTTAAAATTATTAATTATTACTAATTATTTTCAAGAAATTTAATACAATTTTTCTCAAGAATTACATTATTTTCATATAAATAATAGAATTCTTTGGAAGGATTCAATTACTTTCATAAATAGTAAAAATCTTTGCAGATATTCTATTATTATTAATATGATTTTAATAAAATTGAAAAATCTAATTTTCAATTGGAATTATAAACAGAAGAGATTATTTCTTTTTAATTTTTAAATTTGTTTAATTAAATTGTTTTTCAAATTTTCAATTAAAATTATTTTAAAAAAACCTTTTTTTAAAAAAAAAATTTACAAAAACTCGCAAAAGAATTTAATTATTCATGAAATTTTGATTATGTTCGAAGTCAAATAAATTTAAAGTTGATGTGAAAAAAACTGGGAAAAATTATTTCAATGCCGGAAAAAATTTCTCTAATTTATAATGTTAAAAAGGTGACCTGGAAATTTATCAGATTTGATACAGGAAAACCTAGGAAAAGTCATGAAAATTTAAAAACAGGCTTCTGTATTAACCCTGAAATCGTAATTTTGGTTATTTGCGACGTCATGAGATGATTTCCTGATTTTCAAAATATTGGATACATTACTATTGATGTATTATTTACAGGTAATAAATTTCTTTTGAATAAAACATTATTTAATTTTATGAAAAAAGATTATTTACAATTAATTTTTTATTTTCAGACCAATAACGCCTTTGTAACTCCTGCACTGGAATAATAGACTCGCTGTCGTTTTCCGGAAAATGAGGAAGAATTATTCTTTCTTCAAATTTTATTCGGATTTTTAACACTAATATCAATTATTTTATAATTCAAGGCTGTTCTTATTTTTTACTGATACTCAAGAAACGACTAAAAATGAATTAAAATAAAAAAAGGAAAATTTATTTACAATTCTGACTTCGAATTTGGATTCAAGGAGAAGAAATGCATTAAGAATATGTAAAAGCTAAACAAATTTGTCTCTTTTGAATTTAATTCCTTTTTTTAGCAGTTTTCTTTAGATTTTCTTAAAATTTCCATACAATCTGACAAAATTATCATCGAATTCGTCTGCAGCGGGGAAAAATACATTGAAGTACACTAACGTCGCCAAAAATTTGACTTTTTCTTATTTTACTTCGTACTTTTTATCAGATCGCTTAGTTTATTGCAAAATATTGAGCCACTTACACAATTCTAGCTTCAAATTTGAATTTTTTATTTCTCTTTTTTTAATCGTCTTTTGACTATAATTCAAAAACAAGAACCAATCAAATAATTCTGACTTCAGATTTGGATTCAGCGGAGGAAAATATATGGGGAATATACTAGTCTAGTGTCTTGGCTAAATCACTTTTTTGTGCTTCTGTGTAATTAAAGCCCCTTTGAACTTTTACCAAATATTAGGTAACATATAAATGTAATTTGCTTTATTAAATTTCGAGTAAAAATAAAAAGTTTTTAATTTATTACACGTTCGTTTCAATATGGCTTCTTATAACGCAATACGTTTTTCTGGACAATTTACAAAAGTTTTGCGGAGTTTGATTCAAAATTGTTGTGAAAAATTTTGCAAAATCCATTCGAAAATGCTACATATTTTAATTCACAAAATTTTAAACATCTTTTAAATTCCATACGAAATCTTGTAGGTATGTAAATTTCTAAAGGGACTTCTGTATTATTGTATTCGTAAAATTGTTTTTTTGGAACAGGTCTATTATGTAATTTTTTTAATTTGTTAATGTAGGAAATTATTTGCTGATGAAGAATTTTAATTAAGGAAGATTTCGACTATATCAGCAATTAGTGACATCTATTAGAAGTCAATTGAACTCTTTGGTTTAGAGTCAGGTGTTATTCTTAAGATAATTATTCCGATATGGTTGTCGGTAAATAATTATATTTTTTGAATTTTAATTTTTGATCTGAAAAAATAAGCTGCGTGAACGACTGCACTGTGCATCTGTGAGGACTCGAACCCCAGTTAATAGCTGCCTTTCGCGGGACTAACGCCTACCAATGCACCATGCCAACACAGCATAGTCGAAATCTTCCTTAATTAAAATTCTTCATCAGCAAATAATTTCCTACATTAACTATACAGCTCTTCGACTAGTGTATGGGCTTGATCTGAGATTATAAGAAACGTGAACGTCCAGGCTGTGTTGGCATGGTGCATTGGTAGGCGTTAGTCCCGCGAAAGGCAGCTATTAACTGGGGTTCGAGTCCTCACAGATGCACAGTGCAGTCGTTCACGCAGCTTATTTTTTCAGATCAAAAATTAAAATTCAAAAAATATAATTATTTACCGACAACCATATCGGAATAATTATCTTAAGAATAACACCTGACTCTAAACCAAAGAGTTCAATTGACTTCTAATAAATGTCACTAATTGCTGATATAGTCGACATCTTCCTTAATTTTTTAATTTGTTTTCAAATTTTATAACTTTTTGCTTTTATTCTGAAAATAACAGGACTTGTCGAAATGTGAGAAGGCATTGTTTAATTTTTTATATTTCTACTATGATTTTCTTAATTATTTTACAAATTTTATTAAAATTTTCATTTATTCTTTTTTAATGTGTTAAGTGAAAAAACAAATGGAAATCGCCTCTCAAAATATTGCAAATTCTCGTTTGCAAATTAGACGTTTGGAAATTCCTTGTATAGAAGCTTACAAATTTAAGGTAAATATACAAAAAATGTAATTGTTTTTATTGAAAAACAAATTTGTTTTATTAACAAGACTTGTTCAATTTTTCAGTAATGAAATTAATTTTATACATAATTGATAAAATTATTTATTGAATTTGGCATTAAATTCTAACCCTAAACATAAAAGTTTCAGAATTTTATTAATTTTTAATTTTCGTTTTAAGCATGAGCCTAAAGTACCCTGAAGCTTTTTACGAAGATCATGTGGAGAGGATTTTGAAATTATCTACATCATTGAATCCACAAGCAATCAATAATTACTTAATGGAAAACAGCGACGTAATTGTTGATGATTATAACATTGTTACTCTTGCAATTTATCTTGTCATCAAACGTGATCTGCCTTTCGGTTGTCTTCAAACACTGCTTCAAACTTTCTGCGGAGATTTAGGTATTTTAGTTAATGGCTATACTCTATTGCAAACCATGATATTTTGCAAGAAATCGTATCATTTCATCAAAAATGCAATCGAGTGTGGTTTATTCACTAATGGCTTAAGTGAGTCTACAAATGACAAAGTCCTTACAATATTGTGCGGTGAAACAATAAAACTAGATAAGAATAATTTGAAAATCTTGATTAATAATTTCGACTTAATGGAGTATCTTCTAAGCATCGACGAGGAATCTAGCATTAATGATATGATTCATTTGTCCTTTTTATGGTTAAAATTTGACGATTTAATATCCAAACATCCTCTGATGAAGCAACTTCAAAATTTAAAAGAAAATCGAGAAATTTTTGAAAATTTAGTACTTACATTGGATATTTTTGGAAATAAAAATATTCTTGAAGGAAACGAGTACAGTATTCGTTCTCTTTTACATATTAATGCTAGACAAGTGGCGAAGATTTTAATTGATGACAACTTCAGAGAAGCACTGAATTTAAAACTCTCTAATCTGGCTTTGTTTAAATCCTTGTTAGCAGAAAAATTTAACGATGCAAATAGTTTGGCTAATCAAATAAAAAATGCCTTTAAATGTTTCCAAAAATTGCCCTCTTTCAACCTTGATTCCAGCTGTCAAATCATAGATTATTTATCGTATGAGGACTTGAAGAACTTCAATAATGCTTTGCTTGTTTAAGAGATAAAAAGGTATAGTTATTTTCATTTGTTGAAAATGCTGCAGTACTTTGTTACAAATGTTGATCCAAGTCAGATAAAAATATAATTTCAGTCGATTTTCTTTAGAAGAAGAGATCTATTATTTAAATTTATATTTTCATTAAATTTTAATATAAATCAATAATATATATTAAACTTTTAATTTAATAAATAAAATTAATAAATAAATAAAAATTCAGGGAATTTTAATCTGCTCTGAAATTAAATAATCCAAAGTTTAAATAATATAAATTAAAAGTTTTTTTTCTAATCTATTATATTTCTTATTTTATTTATAGATCTAATTCAACTTCGTAGTGGTTTCGAAATGGCTCCAGAGTATAATAATGCAAGCTGATATCCGCTAGTGGTTCACTCCAAAAGATTTTTTTTCTGAAATAAAAATTAAATTTTTTAATACATCCACATTACTGTTCACATTAAAATATGTAAAGTAAATTTAAATTGTAAAGTTTTATATAATAATAATTCATTGAAATCAAATGTATGTCTCGTTGAATATTATTATTTTAATTCAAAATGTTTCGATGAATTAAAAAAACATTTTTATCTGCATTCGAAAGAAAGAACTTAAATATCACTTACATATTGTTTAAAATATTTAAATTTTACTATTTAAGTAATATTAAATTCAATTTAAAAGCTATAGTATTAAAACGTAATTTTTTCTGAAGGTAAAATTTTTTAAAATTCAATAATTTCACAGGAACAAATGGTTATATAAAAACAGATTTATTTTCTGAATCTATATATTCTTATTAAACCTCTGTTAAATCAATGAAATGTCACTAATTCAGAGCATTTACAGTACGGAAAGACATCAAAAAGTGGAAATAGATATTAACCGGCGTATAAGTAAGGAATTTTAAGACTAAGACACTTGATCTCACGTGAAAGTGAGGTTATGTAAGTTTGTTTACAGACTGTCGTAATTTTAATTAATTAATTGTTTAATATTATTTAAAAAATTATTTTAAAAGAGGCAATGAAAACTAATTTATTAAGAGAAAAAATTAATGTAAATGAGAATGGATGAAAAGATGTCTTCTGTTCATGATAATTTCTTTTCTGGTTAAAGTAAAGTTTTATAGTTGTAAATTTCACGGTAAATTTAATAGAAATACTTGACAACACATTACTATAATTTTCTATTCACAATTACATTTTTATTTCTTTATAAATCACTTTTTATTGTTTTTTTAAATAATTAATCAACCAATTAATTAAAATTACGACGCATGTAAACGATGGCTGTTTTCGGCACTCACCCAGGGTTAACCCTGAGTTAAATATTATCCAATCAAGAAAAACATTCTGTTGGTCTAACCAATCACCATTAACCCGGAGTTAACTCGGGGCGAGTGCCGAAAACAGTCGATGTAAACAAACCGACATAACCTCGCTGTCGCACCAATATGAATATTTTCACAATATCATAACAACGGAGGATAATAAAACTTTCACTCATTTCTTTTTTCTATTCTTCTCAATAAAATTAAAACTATGTTTCTTGTTGTTAATGTTTTGTTGAATTTATTAATTAAAATTTATCACAACAAGTAGCTAAAATCCTAAAATTCCTTACTTACACCTATTGTCATGCGCGGCAACCATTTTTACGTTCGAAATTTAAAAATTGCTCCTGATTAATATCAATTTCCACTTTTTGACGTCAGTCTGATTGCAATAAGTTTTTATTATGATTGATATGTAGCTTTCCCTACTGTATATACATACTCTCAATTAGTGACATTTCACTGATTTAACATAGGGTTAACAAGAATTCAGATTTATAAACTAGACCTATTTGTTACTGTGAAATTATTGAATTTCAAAAAATTTTACCTATAGAAAAAAATTACGTTTTTAATACTATAGTTTTTTATTTAAATTAAATATTATTTAAATAGTAAAATCTGAATATTTTAAACAATATGTAAGTAATATTTAAGTTCTTCCTTTCAAATGTAGCTGAAAATGTATTTTTTAATTTGTTGAAAAATTTTGAATTAAAATAGTAATATTCAACAACATACATTTGATTTGAATGAATTATTTTTATATTAAACTTTATAATTTATATATATTTTACATATTTTGTAATGTGAATAGTAATGTAGGTGTGATAAAAAAATTTAATTTTTATTTTAGAGAAAGAATCATTTTGAGTAAACCACTAGCAGATATCAGCTTGCATTATTATATTCTGGAGCCATTTCGAAACCACTACGATGTTGAATTGAAATCTATAAAATAAGAAATATCATAGATTAAAAAAAATTTTTAATTAATTCGTTTAGACTTTGGATTAATTAATTTCAGAGCAGATTAAAATTCCCTGTATTTTTTTTTATTTATTAATTTTATTTATTAAATTATATAAAAGTTTAATATTTATTATTGAATCGAGGTTAAAAGATGTTAATTTTTGTAAATTTTTAATAGCATTTTTTATTCGATGAGCATTTCAGAATTTGTGGTAAACACGTCGCTACTTCAGATTTAAATTATACTTTTAAAAGTGCAGAAATTAAAAAATTTGTAACTCGAAAATTTGGCTATTTATAAATAAATATGAAAAATTGTTTTAAAAAACATATATTTTACTGAATTTAAAAGCTCTACTAAAATGAACATTATCTTAATGGAATTAATAAATTAAATTGAAACTAAACATACTCTTTTTAATTATCTCTTCTATTGAGATATTCTCTGTAAAAGGAAAATATCTTTAAAAATTCTTCATCTTCCTTACTCCTCTTCTCTTTCGGCTTCCGCAAAATACCAAAATATTTTACTTTTCCAGAAGTCCACAACATGCTAACTGTTTTTCCTATAAGTATATACGAATTATTAATTTTAAAAACTTAATTAATATAGATTAGACATTATGAATAACTATTTCTTTACCTGTTATGTAGAAATAGTTTTTATTTTTTCGAATTATTTCTGTTGCTATTTCTGTAAATGTATTCAATATGTGCTGTTTTCCTTTCTTGTTTTTATAATTTACACTTTTTGTATTGTATAAAAACAAAAATTTTTCTATTTCTTTTAGAATTAATTTTAAAGAGCTTTAAATCCATTTTGATTACTTTTTAGACTGTCAATTCGTCAGTTTAAAAACATACCACTCCAGAAATGCCGTTTTGTTTTTTATTTAAGTTGTTAGTTTCCATGGGGAAACAAAAAATATCATTTCTCGATTGTCTAATTTTTTTAAACGTCACGTTTTCCAAAACTAGTGTGAAGTGATGCGTTTCTGCATTTAACGGATGAAATATCTTACAATATTGCTTCTGAAATTATTTCTTTAAATAAAAAAGTTAAAATTTGTTTCATATCAATATAGATGTATAAATAAATATAAGTTTGCAAATTCTATTTACAAATGGAGGAACGACATCGGTTCGCGAACTTATCTGGTAAATATAAATTTTCTATTTTTGTCATTTCCAAGGAAAAAGTAGCCATTTTTGGTCCTTGCGTCACGACATAAAAAATAATATATCTTTGAAACATTTAGCTGTAAAATGGAAATTTAAATTGGCCATTTCCTTATATTTCTTTATGCATCATAGTTAAAAAATTGCCGATTAAGTCAGTAATTAATCAAATATTGAATTAAATTTAGAGTTTATTAAAATTTTAATTATTAAATATTTTGATTAATTAAAATTGAATAAACTTTTACTTTGATTAATTAATATTGAGAATTACTGAAATTTTTATAGAATTAGTTCTAATTTTATCGCAGAATTAGAAAACTGCTGTTTGCTTAAAATTTCAAACTAAATTGTTAAATGATTAAAATATTTAAATTGAATAAAATTTTTATTGAATATTTAAACTTTAGAATAATTCAATTAATTAATTAAATTTTTCATTGATGGAGTGTTAGAATTATTTTAAATAAATATATGTGGATCAATTGACTTATTAATTGCTTAATGTTTAGAATAATTAATTATAATATTAATCTTCGTATTTCATTCTTTCATTCATTCTGTCCACAATTTGAAGTTAGTTTTTGTGTTTGTTTGTTTAGAAAATATTGTTTGACAAATAGAAAATATGGAGGTTTTTTTATGATTTATAATAAAATAATATTTGAAATTAGAATATTAGAAAATTAAAAAAAATATTATTAACAAATAAATTTTATTTTGTATAACAAATTTCGCTTATGCAAATTTTTTTCCTTTATTATTTAGAAAAAATATTAGGAAATTGTTAATTGTTAAAAAATTATTATTAAGAAATAGGAAATATATCCATTTTATGTATAGGGGAGAGTGGGGCAAAATGGGGTACCTTTTTGAAATTGGCTGTTTACAGAGAACCAAACGAATAAATCGATTCAGCTATGCTTCAGAATTCTTCTTTGTACACTTAGCTCTGAGGAAATTATGATAATAGCGGAGAAAAAAATTTTTGAAAGAACTTATATCGTATTTTCGAAGAAAGTGCTAAAATCCCATTTTGCCCCACCCTTGGGGCAAAATGGGGTGGCATCAAATAACTATACAAAACATTGAGTATTTTTTCAAAATTCATTAAATTCTTGTTGTATGAGATTATAAATACGAACAAAAAGTAGGATTCTTTATTACTATGAAAAAACAAGTAATATTTATTAGAATTTAACAAAAAAAAACATGGATATTGCAAAATATCGATATATCGATAATGAAACATCGATAGTATAAATTCCTCGAAGCAAAAATATCGATTCTTCTGCAGGAAACCTTTAAATATGATATATGAATAATATTTTTAAATAGTTTTAATGAAACGGCGTAGCTTCCGGCATGCCCCACACTTAGGTACCCCATTCTGCCCCACACTGCATATTAAAACAAAATGCAATGTTTACAAGTTATTGTAAACAATTAAACAATCTATTCTATTGAAAATTACTCTAGAATAAGTACTGAAAAAGATCCCACACTTGCCAAATTAAATGCATTATCCCAAAAAGTTTGGAGAGCACTTTAATTTTGAAAAAAATTCATATTTTTTTTGCTTAAAACTTAAAAGTTGTATAACTTTCAAAAAAAAATTTCCTTTGGAGTGTCTTCATAATTAATAACAGTTTCTTATCAACATGAATGATATATGTCGAGAAAAAAAAAATTAAAAGTACCTATCATGGAAAAACAGAGGTACCCCATTTGACCCGCCTACCCCATTTTGCCCCACTCTCCCCTAATTTTTATTTTCCAATAACAATATTTTTTACAAAATTATTCTTTTCTTTACGAAAAAGACATTAATCCCGTTTCTTAATATGTTTGTAAAAAATTCACAATTTTCATAAGGAAATAATTTATAATATTTTTATTTTTTATCACAATTGATTTAATAAAATTCAAAGGTTTTTAAAAATAAAGGAAAAAATGGTTAT